TTTTAGCCCTATGGGGATTTCTATAGTTAAGGACCCGAAAGTGACTCACTTCGACTCACTGAAAATCATAGTAGGGTGCACAAGCAAGGTTCAGATTTTTGATATGTTTAATTTCAGGGTATAGTGTACAACATATGCGAAAATGAGCTCAAATTTGCCGGCTAGTTTTCTTCTCATGCCCTCTTTTATTAGCGCCATTGCGGAGGTCATGGAACTGCAGCCGACGCACAGTACTAGGCGGGACAAGTATCCAAGCGCAAATCTACGCCGACTGAACACGCACCATAAGTCAACTTCTACAGTCTCAAAACTGACATATTCCTCTGACATTTACCACAGGTTCTATCTCGATACCATGCTCAGAACAATCTCTGCACCCTTCTCTAGTATTGTGCAGCACTACTTTGTGCCCGGACTACTTTTGACTACGGGGTTCGCCCATAAATACTGTGTTGTGCGGCCTTAAGGTATTTAGCCACAACAAAGGCAAAATTAACTGGATAAGTTGTTCTTGGTGCCTACATAAAAATACTGCCGACTCTTTTTACAACAAAATGTAGGACAATTTGATTATCCAGTGATTGAATCAGTGATGGCGAATTGACTCACCCCCCCCCCCAAGAAGCAGTCACAAAAACTCATGATGTATCTTTCTAATAATAGAAGACACCTCAATATTAGTCATGACATCTCAATGCTATCCTCATGTGTCATTCTTTCTCAATTTCCTGCACCAATCCTGATGACTGAATCATTATGGGACACTCCCTACTGATGGGCTAACTGTCAAAATTGACAGTTCGACCAATCAGAGGATGCGGTATATATACTGTAGGTCCCTCAGTTTTTGCACTGCAACTATTCATTTAGATTTTATTGAAGGAAGTTTTGAATTTTGTACAACATAGCACTGTATGCTGCTTGGAACAAAGTCACATTTTTTTTTACACACATCCCTCCCATACACACAAAATAAAGAGATTATCTGGTTTCTTGATGGAAGGTCAGGCTCCATGCCATATGGTCAAGAACTCTGACATGTGGGCACACCACACAAGCACAATGGTCAACCTCTGGGAGTACAGATACAGTAGGTATCTCTGCATGTCCTTCACCGATATTTCATATCCAGCAGTTCTGTCAACACATCTCTTCGTCAAGGACATGGAAAAATCAATATGAACAAATGCCGATGGGGCTGTCTGTATAATATAGACAACATGGCAGTACGGTTGATGAAAATATAGGTGCAATGTTTTATTGTGTGCTGTAATTTACGGTTGACAGCTATCTAACCTTGTTTTGGTGAAAGTCACTGATCACTACTGGCCAAATTTAATTGGTATTAGGTGATTTTTTTCCCCAAGACTGTCACAAAGCACAGTTTACGATTTTGACACTTTCAGCTGCTATCTTACCTTGTTTTTCGTGTAAAGTCTCTGAATACTGTACTGGCCAAATTTTGTTAGTTTTAGTTTATTTCTTCATCACAAAAACATTGTGTATACAATTTCAGACTGTCACTTACCCTCCAAATGCAGCTTACTAAAAATCAAATCAAATAATATAATATAAATCATAATATAATATGTACATATCAGGAAAATATAGCGAACAAGCTTAGCTAGGAGGTAAGTGGGTTTTCTAGCCCCTCAATATGCTGGCTTTTATTTAGCTCTGAGCTATTTTTACCAACGGAAACAACTGTAACCTAAGCCAAACGTTGTTAGGTGTCTCGCCTTTTTGGTCAAGGTAATCCAACCTTAGCCCTAGCGGGTTACTGTATAACCTCGTTTATTTGCTGGGAAGTCAAGGTTGGGCAATGTGGTCAACTCTTATCTTCAAACCGGGCTGATTATTTCCTGTTTCTTAAGTCTGATAGATGAGGTTTGTTTTAAATCTCAAGCGCAATTTCGACCCGACCTTGAGCAAACCACATTCCCAACTTGGCCTTGGGCTCCCTGTAATAATTGACAGGCTGCCCAAGTCTTTTCATGTCATACCTCTGACACAGAGCAATGAAACCAAAGGGAACAATGACTGCCTTTTGGTGCCTGTTAAAACAAGTGGCATGTGTAAACACCGCAAATTAGAAAAAAGTGACTCCAGTTGCCAGGTAAGACCTTTATTGGAAACACGCCAAGATGTTATCAGGTATAACTGGGAAAGCCCTTTTAAGGATACAAAGTACTTTCTGTTGCATACAAATGAATTGACGATACAGTGCTGGAGTTAGTCTGGGAACATGTACTGCCACATAGCAGATTGTTATGCAATTTGAAAAACTTGGGACGACCCAGCAAAACTAAAGGCAAAGTTAATCATTTTCTGCACTTTTTGGCATTTAATTTAATTCAAATCTACATCAGGTAGCTTCCTGGGTTGTTGCAAAAAGCCCTGCATCAACGCACACCCCTCCCCAAAACAAGAATGGCATGGTAACTTGAAAAGAACAAACCCTGAAAGACTAGTCAACATAGTGGTTCCATGGCTTCAACTTTGGGCCTACGAAGTACGATTGTCACACAATCACAATCGGAACTTCTAGAAGTTCTACTTTATGAACGTGCTAAAGTGAACAGAATGAAATAAAAACATGTACCATTGTACTACCAAATTCTGGTGTATCGTTGTTGCAAATTGAGTTAAGTGAGATGAAGATACATGTACAAGATACTGTTTTGAAAGTTGTTGGGACATGGAGGTCACTTGTCTCGCAGGGTTACCCAGTATTTAGCCCTGTTTGTCCAAGCGACACACTACCTGCTGCACACACATCTGTAGGTAAGCTCTTGGTCAATACAAGTTGGACAGAAAGGTCGTTGACCCTGACAGGGGATTTGTACATGGGTGGTTCTTTCAAGAGAAGCTTCATGTCAGTTTATCAAAATTGTCTCATCAACATGTCGGGAACTGTCAATGTTTCGGCACGTTGACGGACATTTAGAAGAAATTTCCACACAGCTGACCAAGCAGAAAACACGCACGCTTTCAAGTTACCTTACAAGCTACATTGCTCAACAGCCTTCCAAATATGTGGGATTGAATCACATAAAAAACTTCATAGCACTGAACGTTTAGTCAGCGTATCCCTCTTTCATCCTAAAATCATGCATCCTTGCATGTTAATACTTAATGAGATGAAACTGGTTTGAAATGCTTAGAAATCATTTACTTGTGAACATTACAGTTACAAGTAGGGCTAATGTCTGCTAAGTCAAGATGAAATTCCAATCAAAAAGGTCAAGCATTCCATTCTAGTGTGTATAATTTCTCATCTAACCATTTCATACTAAAATACGATGATGACTACAAATTGTTATCACACAAGTGCATACTCTCACGGAATAACAGAATCAGTTGTTTCTTTTCCACATAGACTCAATGACGTCTACTGATTTAACACCATATCCTAGTTACCTATCTTGGAAAGGTCTCTAAGTAACACTAGTGGCTATGGTAGCAACAATGACTGAGTCAACACTTACTACTAGTAGTATTGCCTATTGGTACGTCATAAATATTTTTCGACACAGCATTTTGAAACTAGGATCATTGTAATCCCTAACAGCTATCCTGTATAACAGAAATATGGAATACGGGGTTTCTTCTTGCAAAAGTCGTCTGAAATGCTGTGGTTGCTGATCTGAACTCGTCGATTTTTCAACCCTGACCCTGACACCATTGCACTATGCTGCTTTGGACATCTCAATGCACAGACAAGGCAGACAAATGCAATGGCTCAGGGGCAAAGCCATCCACCACACACCGTGCTCCTGTGGTTCAATCTTGGGTCACTGCTACAGCTTCACTAGCAACGAGTGGGAAATCGTTGCGAAGCCTCCACTTGATCAAGTTATAAACCGCCAATTCTTTTGTCAGAATGAAGAAGCGGTGCCGGTGCTTCTCGTTCTCCGTTTGCCTACTTTTGTTCCACTGAGTGTTGTTATCAGCCGAGGAAGAAGGGCCTGATGTTGATCATAAGCTCAACTTGTACACAGAGGCCGGGTACGGTCGCGACCCCCGCCCTAGTTTATTTCTTTATTTGTCACGCCATTCGGGCGGGAAAACGCGGAAGATTCTGGGGCCCACGCTAAAAACCGCGGGAAGACGGGAAAATCTTTTGTTGCCGTGCATCTGTTTGCTACAAAAATGTTGCCATTACTGGTAAGGTTACGAGCGGATGGGGGCAAAAAGAAAACGCGGTTCTGGCAATGTAAACAAAGGGAAATCGCGGGTTGTTGCTTCCGTTTTCTTGGAGAAAATGAGCGGGAATGAAGGCGTTGGCGTGGCGCGCCTGGTCCTCATTGGAAATTCGTTGTTTAGGAAAACAACACATCTCGCGGCTGGCCGGATCGCGCGCCCGTCAAGGAGAAAAACGATCGAAAGCAGACCAAAATAACCTGGATAATAACAAACACTGATGGCTAGCGTACGACTGGGAAATTGTAGGGAAAATCAACAAAGCCTACGTAACCTGGGAGACCCCAAAACAATGCCATTGAGCGGGATAAGAGATTTGGGGAGCGGGTCTTGCCTGGGCGGGCTGAGAATGGACCGTTTTTGGCCAGGCTCTCTAGGGAGTAAAAAGGGCCCGCGCAGAAATCTGATAGGGCTCTACCGCGTCCCCCGTTATTCGGGTCTTTTGAAAGTGCTTCAGGTAGAACATGATTTGGAGTGCTATCGCGTGTCCCCTGACACAATACACATACTTGTAAGGTCTTGTAGATACACAATCTCGGTCAGCGAGTAGCTCAATGGGCGTTTTTTGGCGCGAGTGAGTAACATTTCTCGGGATTTGTCAGAGACAGTACCCACTTGGGCACGCTCTGCTGCTCCTCAATCGTCGAGGCCCGCGGGTTCGTCTGGTGTCAACAAAAACACCATGACAGTCACACATGCCCGACCACGGATGACTGAGCGAAACAATACACTCATTATGGCGAAAAAATGTTACGCTATGAAGACGGGAAGTAGCGAAATACTACGTGAGTACTTACCGAATGACAACAAAAGATTTTGGGTTCACCTCGCCAGTCCGCCTTTTCGGGGGCCCACCGTGCGCGTGCGCACGACGGCCCTCCGGATACGTGGCGCGATAAATTCTGCCTCCCGATTGGCCAATATCAAATCAAAACCACCAATCAGCATCCTGGAATAAAATGCATTACTGCAGGAGTCACGTGGTACAAAGAGTGCAGGGTTTGAAGGGCCAGGGAGGCAACACATGTTTGATTTGAAAACAATGCTTTGTTTTCACGGTATATAGTCCCAGTGAATTATGCAAAGTGATACTTAAAGAACGCAAACAGTATTCAGAACGTGTCGGACACAAAAACACCAGCAGAAAGCTCAATACGAGCGGTGAGTTTTGATAGGAATGTTAGACACCCAGGACTCACCCAAGATCAATATTTGAGCAATGTCACGGTTCTAAAAACGGTCAAGGTTGCACAGCTTCTGTTAAAAGGAAGCGACCTAACATAACCCCAATAACAGGTAATAAAGACGTACGGCGTAGTGTTGGGATATAGGAGACTTCGTACGTGTATACCATACAAGCCTACAACACTACTAATGGAGGAAAAAATCCGATGATGCCGGAAGGAAATATTCTATGGTGATGTTTTCCTATCTTACCCTTTTCTTGTGATCAAAGAAGTCCCGCCTTTCGATGTTTTCCTGTTTGCCGTGTACCGCGGCGCATCAAGGGCCAAACGGCTAATTCGGTTAGCTGATCTGTTGGAGAGCTGTAACGCAAACTCAAGATGGGGCTTTGTTCCAAAGTTGTAGCCTCCTTAGCAGACCAGGACGGGCCTTTGTGCCTAATCAGTGTGTTGTTTTGCATTTTTTTCTCATGGCATATCACTTCCATTTGTATTCGGCTTCTTGTGACACCCCAAACATGCCCTACACCCGCCCCAAAAGTTCAACTGCTAGTCTACATCCAAAGTAGGGGTGCGCGATATTTCCAAAGCCACATTATCATGATTAGTCATAACAGACGTTTTAAACACGAAAGCTCTGGATCTAGCGCTCAATCTTTAAAAATTTAATGATCCTAGGTTGAATCTACTTCGGTGGCGATCATCCTAGGTGCCGTATTTACCGCCGGCTCCCTATTGTTAGCCTGGGTACCCAGCGTTGCGGAGCGAAAATCCGGATGGTACCCAGGCTACCCTATTGTCGCTGACTTCCGTGATACATGTAGCTAGAGCAGGTGTTAACTTCGGAGGATGACACCCAGGCTAGAGAACCTTACGTATATGCTCCACTGTACGAAAAGCAACAACTTGGCATCCGGTGCACATACTATGGTTTCTACGTTGGGATTGCATTTCAGTACCAAGGAGGGGGACTTCTATGACCACCTCACTATACATGACAGGCGTTGCATGTAGCCTCCGTAGCAGGCTTATAAGGTATAGAACTGGGGGTTTGGTGGTCTTCGGCTGTTTTCTGATTAGCCCAGTTAGTAGTACGGGGGTAATTCAACCAGGCCGGCTATGTTGTCAAGAAAATAGCACATAACATAAAAGCTCCCAAAGACCCTGAAGACCCCCCAAACCCCCAGTTTTTGGCATGCTATGGAGACTACGTTGCATGAAGCGCTAGCCAGGCTCTGTCATCTATATTAGCGTTTAGAGACGGATTCAACAGATCTGTTAGTACATGTAGTCACAAGCAGGTTAGAGCATGAGGGATACAATTCCTTGGTCATGAGCAAAATTTCAGTCTCCACCAGACTTCTTTTGCGAGCTTCTCTGGCCGGCTACCTTCTCTTGCCAATTAATACCCTTTTTAGGCCGATTTCTACGATTTATTCAGCCCGCAAAATAAGTCTGGTGGAGACTAAAAATTTCAAGTCAAAGAAAGACATGGATGGGCAATCCATGAAGTAAAGCATTCGTGAACATAACTGGACTTACAGTAGTAGCAAAGTAATAATAATCAACATTCCAGGGTGTGTGACAGGCTGAATAAAAGTTCTAAACTGGAACTATGCGGCTCCAGATGTCTTACTGAGGGACGACTGCGTGTGCTAGATGTCGGTAGCTTGAGGAATGAATCCCCTCTACTTTATACAACATTCCAGGGTGTTGTTCACTCCAAGGCTAGAGGAGGACAAGCCTTATGAGATCCCAGTAACTTAAGGAGACCTGGCAGGCATACTACATGTATAACACTAATTATAATACTGAAAGGAGGCAGTGTCAATTGCACCAACCACATAGTGAATTACATAAAATTGACCTTTCTATTGACAATAACTTTATTATCTATTTTACCAAGCATACATACATTTCTATGAAAAAAAGATGGCAAGATAATAGCAAACTACACTTTTAAATTGAAATACCAACAATTTGGGTCACAATTCTTCACTACAAGTCTCTGGCTCTCTTGTTTGTTTTAAAGGGCTATCCTATAGTACATTTCTATTGTTTCGTGATATTCCATGATCAGTATTCTTTTCTACATAATCATGTAAGAACAAACTTACATCATCATCATCATCGTCGTCCTTCCTCATAAAACTAAGGATAGAGAGTTCACATCTCAATGCACAGAGTTCATCTATAAATGGAGCTTTAAACAGGGAATGGTACCAGGTATAGTCGTCGTAAGATATCTCTTTAATTTTTACCTCTCCTTTATACATGATCTGTACTTAGCTTGTAAGAGCATGAATGTACAGTATAAAAGGTCTTTCTTATATATAACCTCCTTGGTACAGTTAACTGAGAAGTTAGTTGCAAAGTTCAATTCAAGCTTAGTTCCAACACAAGAAGGGAACTACCATAAATTTTTAGTCAATCTTGTCAACCTTCGTCAGATGTGTGATGCACTTGCTGACTCTCTACAAGTGCATCACATATCTGACAAAGGTTGACAGAATCGACCGAAAATTTATGGTGAGTTCTCTTCTTGTTTTGGAACTAAGCTTGAACTTTGCAACTATGTATTCTACCGACACAGATGAGGCCACACCAATTGTTGTTTCTCTGATTTTATCAGAAAAAATATGAGGCAACAAGGTGAAATAAAAAAAACAGGCCAAGGCACCCCATAAAGGCTGGAAATGTTACAATATGAGCCATGAAGTCAACATACATTTACCAGGCTGGTTTCAAATTAAAACAATAGATTTTGAGCTTTTAAAGAAATGAAGTTGCACTGTTACATTGAAAAACTTTAACAACTAGGATGAAAAGGACTCTTTTCAACTGTTGGGGCCAAAATATGTCTTTGATTGAGCATTTTGAAGTTGGTTCAGAACCTAAAATGTTTTTTTTTAAATAAAAAAAAATGGACAGGGCGAATCCAAGAAACAACAAATTAAATTGGTGTGGCCTGAGCTTTCATTTGAAATCAAGTTCATAACTAGGTTAGCGTGGACACATGGCGTGTCTGCCTCCATCTACAGGTAGTGTTGCCCCGGTGATGAACGACGCACTTGGGGACGCCAGAAACGCGATCGTACGCGCCACCTCCTCCGGCTGTCCAGGACGGCCAAGGGCGTGTGTCATCTTTGTACGCTCAAGAAACTGTTGGAACAATGGCCTTCATGAGAAGTGTTTTACAAGTTGTGTTTTACTTTAATCCACTGACAGGTTGGAGTTATACACTTTCATTGGCTTTGGTCCAGTTGAGGTACATGTATGCATGAGAAGTTCTTCTTGTTTTCTTGAGTCTGTAGTTGTAAAATGTTTATTATTCTGCAATTTTTCTGTCAACTATATAGAGCAAGATATTATTCTCATAATTCTCCCAGTGCAAAAGTACTGTCTAATATGCATATTGATATATAGAAACTTGATACATTATTGGGATATCCATTAGTTGCACAATTTATAGATATATATAGTTGAGCACTAATGAAAGTAACAGTAACAAATGTAAAAGTAACTATACGTATATACAAAGGTAACATTTACAAAGCATATGCATAATGGTTACTTTCGCATATAGTCTGCTCTGTTATTTCTTACTCAAACACATTCATATACATATGTGGTGACAGGAGTCCAAATCCCTCCTGCTATAAAATTGCAACATTATGTAATGTAACACCAGTTACCATGGTGACAGGCGTATGGTTCAGGTCATTGATCTTATTGGTTTGGAGAAGAGGAAGAGGAAACAGAGCAAAAGCAATATGTTTTCCTTCGGTAAACATAACAAATGGCACACACACACACACACATACAAACACACACACACACAAACCTTAGCATAAGCCTCTTCATCAAGACCAGCACCTCTTTTTTGCAGTTCTGTGATGACTACTCCAGGGCTGTCGGGAAACACAGACAAGGAACAACCCAAACATTTTATTTATTTGTTTCTTTGTTCATGTGTCACAAGAAGCCGAATTATTTCAAGGACATTGTAAAACTATTTAGGCAATCAATACAAATAAAGGAGTATATTTAACACAACTACTCTTCCATACTTTATAAATGTTTAGACTTTTCATCAAATCATTCAAATAAAAGTCTTGGGCAAATATTCGTCCTTAGATCCCTTTGAAATATCTACTGTCTCCTGTCACCATTGTTCACAAAATAAACCACATTCATAGCTGCACAAGACAACACATTGCTAGTATTGGCATGGATATACGGTGTAGCATTTGTCTGAAGTTGAGTGTCAAAAGTAACATCAGAACTTACTTTACAGAATTGACTCTGACATTATCAGGCGCAAGTTCTGCAAAGAGAGGAAGACATGTCAGTCAAAATCTTGTCTTAGGAAAAACAGCTGATTGCCCAACTATCAAAATGTAAGCATTTAGGTATACATGTATATAAAAAGATGATGAAAGGTGAAAAATTCAGGTAACTATAGGTGGAACAAGAGGTTGAATCAAGTTAATTACCCAAAGCAAGGCTCCTTGTGAACTGGTCCACAGCACTCTTGGTCATGTTATAGGCAACTAAACCTGGAAACTAGACAGGAGTAAAGGGACTTATAGATAGCAAGCAGGAAAAAGTACACACTTTCCTCTGGTAATGATTAGACCAGTGTTTTAGCCAGCGTTTGACAGAATTTTGCCGCTTGCGACAGACAAAAATTTTGACAAAATCATCATCTTTGAAGGAGAAAAATCAGCAAGTAAAGATAAGGAAAGAGATGTCATTAAACTAAGCTTAGTTTAAAGGTAAAATATGCCCCTAAAAATGCAGTAAATATCATTTTAGATGTCAAAATCTCCTGGTAGTACCTTTGGCAATCAACATATTACCTAACAAAATTGAGATGACAAAAAAAAAAATTCAGACTGGTTAGAACACTGAATTAGCTATATAGACATTTTCCCACCAAGTCCTCAACAAATGATCACACTGGGAAATTAGGTGTAAACATTGATGCATGCATTTATAACCTATACTCAAGAAACATGCCCCACATATTTGATAAAAATGTGTTTTGTAAATCGGAAGTTGTACACTAACCACTCCAATATCGCTTCAAACATTTGTTTCCCTACCTAATCTACTTATTTTATGTTCACTTACAAGAAGAGTTCAATCATTCATGGCTTCAAAGCTCTTCACACTACAGAAGTATCTGTGTGAAAGGTACTTGAGATATAGATTCGTGCTTGATTCCTGAGTCGAGTGGAACACTTACAGAACGTAGACCATTAACACTGGAGACGTTGACGATGTTGCCTTGACTCTTCACAATGTGGGGAACAGCAAGCTGAGTCAGCACAAACATGGACCTGCAAGCAAAATTACACATGTATATGGTTCCTGGTTGGAGTTTAAATCTGACCAGGGTTCCAAATAGTGTGCAATATATTGCCGGATCTGCGTGGTTGTCATATGCTAGGTCTGGCTCCCCATTGCTCAGCCATCGTTGTAGATTTTCAAATACGTTTTGAATCGACCAAAAAACCTATGAATTTCAAGGCATTCAAGTCACCCGGGATTGCAAATAACGTATTGCAAAACCTTTTTTTTTTTCTTCATTTTTCAGAAACACAAAGTAGTAAGCTATTTTAGCATAAAAACCGTTACCCTGGGAAAAATTTTTTTCCAGGCAGGTCCGTTGAAAAAACTGCAAAAAAACTATATTTTTCGTATCCAACATTTACGTTTGACTACAGTTTCTACCCAAATTATAGTGTCAACAGACGATAACCAAAATTCAAAAATCAAAATGTTAGGTAAAAAATAATCTAGATGTTGTCATTTTTCCTTTGCACACTAATAATTGTTCCAGTGCAGAAAATACTGCTTTCTGTTAACTAGAAGAGTTGATGCAATTAAACCTACCTGACATTGACTTTGAAAATGTTATCAAATGCCTCCAGACTGGTGTTGTGTATGCTTCCCATATTCAGGATTCCTGCATTGTTTACCTTAGAAAACAAGAAGTACTTTTACTATCAGCAAGTAATTCTCATGAATGTTGCCTGGCTATCTGGCAAAATATTCAATAAACAAAATCAGGGTTTTTCACAAATACAGTGTATTACAATGGACAATATTAGGCTTCAGTGTTTATTATTACATTATTTTACAGAAATATGAAATTTACAATAATTACACTTTCCATTTTAATTTGAACACAATTTAAGGATGACTACAGAGAAAAGCAAAAAAAAAATGTGTCAAACTCAAAGAGAATGACAAAATTGTCAAATGATGTGGGAATGTAGTTTGCTCTTAGGACTGTGGGATGCACTTTGGGAAAAATTGGGACTATTACAGTGTTCTCGCCAGTTTTTGTTTTTAAATTTCTGTCACTTGATGGAATTTTGCCAGTAATGAAAGACAAAAAATTTTGCCCAATTGTTCATCTTTGACAGACAAAAATTGAAAGAAATGGAAAGAGATTTCATTAAACTATGCTTAGTCTACCAGCAAAATTTGCCTCTCAAAATGCCCCTCACTCAAGATTTCAAAATTTTTCCCTACGAAAATCTCACCAGGATGTCCAGACGTCCAAACCGCTCAACTGTCTCAGCTACAAGACGCTCCGCCACAGTCTCATCACAGATGTCACCTGGCACCAGGTGAGGCTACAGGTGGGAGAAATGATCAGGACGTCAGTATTAACTCTGGACCAAGGTATAAGCTTGCAATCACAGCTACATATAGAATATCACACGGTGTATATGTATCGCCTTCAGCCGTCAGGTGATCCGACTCGCGGTGGCCCGGCACCGAGGGCGATGCGGAATACACTGTGTTGTATTTTATTTATGTCATACCCACCCAAGAAAATGTGCCTTTCAATGCAAAATGAGCCCAAGTTTGGTGTCCCTAAACTAAAAAATGCAACAACATCAATTCCAACGTCTGAGTTCTGTATTCAAATTTTCGAAAGCAGCGCACACGGTTTGGGCAAAATGCGTTCGATTCGTTCTATGGAAGCCACGGAACCCGTTATCAAACATTATCGCAGCCCGGGTATGATATATAGAATATTACATGATCGTGAATTCTGTATCGCCTGAGGTACCAGCCATACCACGGGTCGGATCGCCCAAAGGCCAGAGAAATATCCAATCCGCGTGAGGGCTGGGACCGAGGGTGATGCGGAATACACCGTGTTGTATTTTATTTATGTTATACCCACCCACAAAAACAGACATTTCAATGCGAAATGTTCCAAAATTTGATTATCTAAACAAAAAGTGTAATGGTGTCCATTCCAACATCCGAATTCGGTGTGTTCGAAGTTTCGAAAGCAGTGCACTCGGTGCGTGTGACACACGTTCAACTTATTCTATGGAACATTGGGAAGCCTGTGTGATAAAAAAAAGAGAACCCCAGGCCATACCGCTAGTTATCACATGGGCCTGAACACCTAGCTGCCTGTATCAAACGTTATAGCAGCCCAGGTGTAACATAAAGGAACTTTACCTTGCTCTGTGTTTCCTTTTCACAGTCCCCCGCCACTCTCTCCAGGTTTGGCACATGTCTCCCCGTCAGTGTGAGCTGGGCTCCCAGGTTTGCAAACAGACGGCTGGTGGCTGCTCCAATGCCAGAACTGGCTCCGGTGATGAGGGCCACCTTCCCAGCCAGAGACACCACCTAGCAGGTTGGAAACACATTGCAGGTAAAGACGTGAGCTTTAGATTGACCAATATGCATGTATCACTTAAACAACAGGAGCTATTTCACTAATTTGCATCATCCTTGCCTTGACTTGTCAAACTTATGTTTCCTTTTGGATGTTTAAAAAAAAAACTGTCTTCAATTATTTGCATATCAATCAATAAACCTGCCTTTCTGACAAGTCTCCATTGTCACTGACAAAAGGTAGTGGATGCTACATGAAATGTCTGACCGTTTCCAAAATCATATCCAGTTGCTTGAGTAACTGTTTTTTTTTTTTTTTGGCAAGACCATATGCATCAGTTTTTTGTTTCACAAATGAGTACTATATGTAGTATGTGCATCAACTTTCATATGGTATTATCCCAGTAAAAAAGTTCACGGTCTGAAAAAAAAAAAGACAATGTCATGTTCGTGGAACTATATGTTTGCAGTGGCGGCAGGTGCAGGAAAAAGAAAGTCCGCGATTTATTTGCTCCTGGTTATGATATTACAGTTTGAGGTGACCGTGAAAAGTGCAAACATAAAAGTACCACGAAAAAATCGTGAATCACAGTACTCTCCTCTTAAAGATGGTGCAAATGTACCCTTAAAAATTACAACATGCTGGGGAGTTTTACAGCACATAAAGTGTAATTAGATACATTTATCATTAATAAACAAACATCAAGGACTCGGGTGTAAGTTGCAAGATCCTAGAGAACACATAACTTAAGTACATAAAGAAGATCAAAAACTTAATCTTCAAGGTTTATTTTAGGAGTACTTTTAGTGTGGGGGAGGGGGGCTTTTTTGTTGCATGTTGCATGTTGGAACGCCCATTTTCGTCAAAATTGTGTAAAACACTGACTGACAACAAGCACTTAGTGAATAAGAAGTAATACACAGCAATAAAGCAACAGATATCACGGCATTGACGTTGAGATTTACCTGTTGAGACGCCATGTTGCCCTTCAAAAGATTCTCGAGTGCATGCAAAGACAAGATGTTGCTTATGCTTTACCTTTAACCTTCAGTGGACTAGTCCATGATTTGTTTGGGTGGGTATGAGAATTTACTCTCCCATTCTCGCAATCTTTGAACTAAGGATAAAATATCAGACTACTGCTCCAATCGATAGAGTTGACTGACGTTTGTAAAATATAGTTTTGTCGTTGCCGACTTTGTTTGAGCTTTTCTGCAGTGAAAGGTTGTTTGACCTCGAGGTGAGTGAAACCCCGGTTTAAATCGCTAGTCGGCGTTCTTGAGCGCGATGACAGAACTGAGCCTGCAGGTAGCATGCCTCATCTTTTTAATTACTCAAAATAAGACACAAGACGGGCTCACTTGTGCTCCCGTAGTGCTAAACGTTTCTTCTAATGACGAACAAGCAATACATACCTGAATTTTAGAGCAGAAGCCAGTAGGCGGGTAGCCCTTGGTAGCTATCCTATTTCCATCTTCTACTTGATGTACACTGAGTAAGGTCGCACCTCAGTATCCTTTCTGCCACTGCCCAAGAAAGCTCTAGTAAGTCAGAAAACGGACCAGTATGAAAACCTTACAGTACTAGTACTAGTATGGTAACGAGCGGGGTCATCTGGGGTCAATAGAACATCGTCGTCCGATGTTCTATTTACCTCAGATGACCCCGCTCGTGTTACCATGGATTGGAAGCACGGATTCGTTTTGGGAGACTCTACCTTAGATGGTGGGGGATTCATGAATATCTTCTTTTATTATCTTCTTTTATTAACCGGTCGCTTTTTGAGGATTATCTCTCACCCACCATTTCTCTAAATTCCTGTTTTACACACGAATAAAACGCAATTAAGAGGCGTCCTCTTTTAGATTGAACAAGGTGTCAACACCCCCATAGAACTTGCTGAATGGACTATCCCCAACAAACGCCAAAATTCGATTGTTGTTTCAAACTGTAAAACATGGAGAAACCCCAGATTCTATGGCTACCACAATTTATTTAGTACTTTTCTTGTTCTGACTGGATAATATGAATTAAAGTTCTGCAAACATGGCGACTACGTTACCCACGACCACAGAGGATCCGACGTCCGTCGCCTTGGCCGCTCTGGAATCACGAGTGACCACCTTGGAGACTGTCCACCCGACTAGCCTGGACACACTGCTCCTGATTCTATCAGGATGTCTGATCATGACCATGCAGGCCGGCTTTGCTATGTTGGAAATCGGGTCAATCAAGGTCCGCAACGTCAACCACATCCTACTCAACAACGTCATGGATGTTTGTGAGTCAAAACCTTCCATTTAAATACCAACTCAAAATGTTTTTATAACTAATAATGTCATATAGAATTCTCAATGACAAATAACAAACAGTATGTGACAAAGTTATGTATCGGGTATTGGGTTGCGTCAGTGAAGGCTGGGCATCCACACCAAAAACAGTTACCCAAGCAACGGGATATGATATTTGTAAACACTGGAGAGCTCTTGAATTCGAATATAATTCTCGTTGTTGCCATAACTTTCTTGCTTTTCTTGTTTTTAATAATTTAAGTGTTACTTAGCTTCTCCATAGTTTATGTTGCTATGATTTTGTTTTGACCATTTAATTTTTACTTAATTATGATTTGTTAATATTTTCTTGTCATTTGCCTTGTTTGCCATTTCAAGTGTTTCAGCTGTTAATTTGTGATTATTATTTGTTATGTTTAATTTAAAGGATGAGGGCTTGTATCAGCCTAACAGGCTTCATCCCTTCTCCTGTAGTGTTTTTATTCAATTTACTCCACTTTGTATTTTCGTGCGAACAACAATAAATAAAAATAGATAAATAAAAAAATTCAGCATGTTTAGAAGCACGAACCATTGATTGGTTTTGGGTTGTTAGGGACACAGTTTGCTCAAACGCTAACCATCGACGCTTCGGACCCACCTACCTTCAGGTATTGGATCTGCGGCATACTTCTTCTGGGGTTACGCGGTGTCCTTCGGCCCCACCAGTAGCGGGTTCCTGGGAGGCGACCACTACGCCCTCAGACATTTCGAGTCGGACGACGCCCTGACGTGGGTCTTCTTCCAGTACTCCTTCGCCGCTACGGCAACCGCTATCGTGTCGGGGGCCATGGTCGGGCGGACGCACCTTCTCGCTTACATGTGCTACTCCTTCGTCATAACGGGCTTGATCTACCCTACCGTGGTCCACTGGGCCTGGTCAGGGGAGGGCTGGCTCAACTCAGAGACAGGATACGCCTACCAGGTAACCAGCAAGAACCTTTCACGTTCTTATGACATGCAAGGGAGGTCTTCTAACTTTGATGCTATTGGTAGGCCATGTTGATTATGTTGATGACATCCGCGCATGAGTTTTCGTCCGTTTCCAAAAAAAAAAACATTTTGGTCATACTGTAAATACAAAGCAGCTGCAAAACGATCACATATATGCAGTAAATTGAAAATTAAATGACCGGCAAAATTGGCAAACGATACTGATTCAATAGAATGCCACAATCAATTCCAAAGTAAAAGAAAATGTAAAGAGATTAAAATGAAATCTATTATTCGCCATACCACACTCTGTGTATTTAGTATTTCATATATTTCAACCTTCATGACCACATAGATTTCATAATGAAGGCAACTTTTTTGCAACGTTTTTTTTTATTCGCACGAAGAGTCTTACTTAAAATATCGTACTTGTTCGCGTTCTGCTCCCTTCTTTCTCACACAAAAATAAGTGGTGAAAATTTTGTTCGAATGCCTTGCTATAGTTACCTACACCATACAAACGGCCTATTCTGCCCAGGATTTTGCCGGGAGCGGAGTGGTACATCTATGCGGCGGTACTGCGGCTCTGATCGGAGCCATCGTGCTGGGGCGGAGGAAGATCGTCAAGGAAGACGAAGAGTCTATTCCGCCTTCCGCGCCTGCCCTGGTCACACTTGGTAAAGATAAACAGTATTATAGACTTGTTATACAATTGTTTATCGTTTATTATTCAGTTTGTATCATTCTGAGCACCAAGTCTGCTTAGTTATTCAAACGCAATTCGCATGTCGTTGGATGGAAGGTCATTTCAGCACCAAGGACATGATGGGCAACGGAAAGGAATTTTTGCTACAGGGACTGCTGCAGTACCGTTAAAAAAGCCAGGTGGACCATTTTTGAACTTGACCTACATTTTCACAATAGCCACCCACGTACGCGTACTGAATAAACTTCTCGACCTACCTACCTACAGACCCACACCACAGCTACCCCACCAAGCCCAAACCGAAAACATACCCTTCTGACGAAGGCAATAATAAAGAAGACCAAGATTAACTGTGTTGTGCACTTAAGACTTGAAGAGTTGTGTTGTAACTTAAGACTTGAAGAGTTGTGTTGTAACTTAAGACTTGAAGAGTTGTGTTGTAACTAAAGACTTGAAGAGTTGTGTTGTAACTAAAGACTTGAAGAGTTTAAAGTTATACTAATAGGGGAAGCATGCAAGCACGAGGTAGCTTATTCCAAAGTGATGTTGTTCTTGGATAGAAGCTTTCAGCATATGGAACTTCCTCCACGGAGCATTTGCCGTGGAAGTAGCGATAAAATAACGCAAGGCTTGCAACGGTACGCCTATGTGAGAGTGGTTGTAGGGTGGTAGAATGTCATAAAATTGTATCTTGCTACAGGGTTTTTCATCCTGCTGGTGGGGTTCTTCGCCTTCAACGGCAGCTCGCAGGGCGCCATGTCGTCTGACGGAGACGCGGGAGCCGTGGCCCGGGCCGTCATGAACACGGGCCTGTCCTGCAGCGCCGGCGGCATCGTGTCCATCCTGGTGGTGCGTTACGTCAAGAAGGAGGAGGACAGCTACGCTACACTGTGCCTCACCGTGAACGGATGCCTGGGAGGCACGGTAGGAACAAAAACAGCCGGGTTTACAAGCTGATGCATCTATCGACCATCCTCCCTCAGTTTTTTATGTTTACCGAAGGAAAACAGATTGCTTTTGCTCTGTTTCTTCTTCCTCTTCTCCAAACCAAAAAAGGTCAATGACCTGGAGCAGAATGTCTGTTACCATGGTAACTAGTGTTGGGTTACAATGTAACCGTTACATCATGTTGCAATTTTATAGCATGAGGGATTTAGACTCCTGCCTGACCATATATGTGAATGTCTCAATGTTCTTTTATTTTTGTTATTTGCCATTAGCCTTCGGGCAGGAATTTGCAATAAACTTTCTATGCATGATGCACTCTCTCCCAGGTTTCCATCTGTGCATCTGCTAACGTGTGCACCACATACGGAGCCCTGCTCATCGGTGCGACCGGCGCTGTGGCGTGCCTGGCGTGGTCAGATGGTCTGAAGAGGTGGACACCAGTACAGGACCCGGTGGACGCTACAGCTGGTATGCACGGTCTAGTTTGAGAGTACAATGTGTGCTTTATGATTGATTCCCTTTGGTCGAGAAAAAAAAACGAGAAAAAGTTTTCATCTCTTTTTTTAACACCCCGTTCAGACGATTGAATCGCGATTGAGGTCCAATCCCGATTAAATCGCGATTGATTTTTCTGAATCTAAACGCTCCAATCGCGATTGAATCGTGATTAATCAAATCCATCTCTGGGCGGTGGATTCAACCGCGATTGACTGCAGTAGACCTATTCGACTTTCACGGATCGCATAACCTGCCTCGTCACAGGGGGGATATTTCGAAAGAACGTAGAAGGCTAAAGTCGAACGTGGCTTGTGCTCGCGGTGTCCCCCCTGGCAGATCATTTTTTTACTAAAAGGTGTCTATTTTGTCGGTTATATATGCGGAAATGACAGGAAAACAGGCACCAACTTTGTATGGTTGCATTCTGTACAACAATTTAAGGTTATTTTGTTCGGTGACGTATACGCCAGTTTATGCGATCCGTGAAAGGAACTTTCGAAATGCCCCACCTGTGACGGAGTTTCTATTCGAAATGTCCCCCTGTGACGTAAGCAGTTTATGCGATCCTTGAAAGTTGAATGGGTCTATTACCGTGCGGAAGTTTTAGACATTTGGCATCATTTGATAATCTTTCACCCCTCCCTCTCGCTCCTGGTTTCAGTTCACGCCGCCTCTGGACTGTGGGGAGTGATCTGCGTTTGTTTCATGGACAAGGATAACGGCATCTTCTACACCAGTGACCAGCCCTCGGCCTGGTACCATCTGGGAGAAAACCTGCTCGGCGCGGTCGCCATCGTAGCCTACACCGTGGCCACCACGGCCGTCCTTTCAAAGGTACACCGAGAAAGCTGGTGAAATAAGAAGCCCTTTTCACACATTCACGACCTTCGCCTCGAATTTTTTTTATTCATCAAAACATAACAAGGACAGTGTGGCGCCGCACTCAAGTTTAACAGTGCGAAACACAATTAACATTTTGAAACAAGTTTGAACTGCAATTTCCAACACAAGGTTTAGAAATTGGACAAATTTTCGACTGTACAACTCCAGTCTTTATCAAGGAATGAGCAATCCACTACTCCGTGACGTCACACAGATGACACACGTGACTCCGTGAGCAGTGGATCGTAGGGTGCAGAAAGTCTGTGGCACCCCCCGTCTCTGTTGAGGGATGGTTGTAATGCCCTGATGTTAGATGGCCTCTTGTTTTATAATGACTTCTACCAACACAGATACACTTCGAAGATAACACTTAATGTCTGTCCTTCCTGATTCGTTCTTTCTACTTTTTTTTTCAAACTTTATTATTATTCACAATGTTGCATTAAAAAGAGATACATAGTTAACATACAATCGTACGGAATGATACATAAGAATCAAAGACGGTTTTTTTAACAGATAAAGTTATCTTTCTACTATCCATCAGGACTGGACCTGGTAGGAATCCTCCGCTCCAAAGAGGAGATAGACGAGCATCACCAGGCTGAGGTGGAGGTAGCGGAGGAGATGAAGCGGCGGGCCAGCATGATGCCGCCCTCCCGCCGCCTGAGCTTCATGCCATCGCTGGGGTCCCGGTCCTCCCACCTCACCAAGGCCCCGTCTATCAAGGTGGTGCCCGAAGAGCCTTCGAGCCCCGAGGCAGCGACCCCTTCTCCTGCACCCAAGACAGGTGGTCAAGCACCAAGTGGTCAAGAACCAAGTACCGGTCAAGCACCGCCAGCAGAGATTCCCACCCTGCGCAGGCTACCACCAATCGAGCCGCCGGTGTAATTCCTGTACTTAGGGAGGAAAGCTTTTGCATTGTGAAATAAGCACAAAACCTTTTGGGGCTACAAAGATTATTGGTCCTTTTATACAATACTAGTTGGAGTGACCATGCATACCGTATTCATATCGCCAAAGAAACTAACGCTTATACACACAAGCCATATTGAAAATTTCATGGCCATACATACCTGTATTTGTCCAGATATTCAACTGCTACAGCTGTAAAATTTTACTTTTTGGTATTCTACTTTGTTTAAATAATCAACTCAGGGTTTTGCCTTTCCATTTTACCTCACGTACATGTAGTATATGCCTGCAACCTTGCCTCAAATAAAGCTTGTTGTACATTCCCCCACTGAATTCACTGAACGCGTGAAGTCTTGTGCCTGAGTCGACAGGAAGTAACGGTATTTGTGAAGCGTTATTGTCTTGTTTATCTAGAAACAGAACGATAAATACGAGTCTATTTCGTTGTTGTTATGAGTCCAGTAGAACATTCAGATAGCTAACCCTACTCTCCAAGCAGAGGTTTAGGCTTATTTATTGTTTTTCGGCAGTTTTATCGGGCTTGGTTTTTTGTATTGATATCTTTTTTTTTTGTTTTGCTCAATCCACTGGATACTGTCTTTCCAATTTGATATTGCCTTTCAGCTAGTGCTGCATACCTAAACCCACATTCAGGTTCAGGTCCGGATTCAAGTCCAGAGGTTTAGGTTCAGGTTCAGTTCCGGACTTGTAAGTCCGGACCTAAACGCATGGCATATACATGTATAAAATTCCATGTTGGCAACCTTGCAATATTGTCTGGGTGAAACTTTGGCCACATAACACGGAGGCCGGTACTTGACGATGCCCGATGGCAATGTTTTCTTCATTTTGCAGCAAAGATTTGCAAAACTCGGTTCTTGACTTTTAGGTTTTTTTTTGGACTTGAACCTAAACATTCTTACAAGTCCGGATCCAAGTCCAGTGAACCGGTACGCAGCGCTACTTGCAGCCAACAAAAGATCTGCTTGGAGATTAGCTTAACCTGAATTAATATATTAAAGGTAAAGGACAATATATCCCTTTGGTATAGCTGAACACATGATGTAATATCATATGACAGCTGTCACGCACGGATCAATAATTAATCATTCAAAACTAAGAATTGGGTCAGGTCGGGGATGATGCAGGACAACAACGTACTGAAAAACTAGTATTAATATTTTATGATATATAATATTTAGCTGATCAAAGAAGCATTAGTGGTATATCACAATACTGCAGTCTAGCAATCCAATGCAGTAGTACTCTCCAAGCAGAGGTTTGGGTTTGGGGTCATTTTTGGCGTGTTTTTAGGCTTTTTATCGGGGTTTCTTTTTTGCTACTGTTTTTTTTTTGGTTGCGGTAAAAAAAAACCTCTACTTGGAAAGTAATGCAGTAGTACTTTTTATTCAATACAATGGTGTGTCAGATATTTCTCTGTTATGGTGTTGTTTACTAGCCTGGGTGCCATCCCCAGTAGTACTCGCCCGCTAGCTTACAACTGGTAGCTAGCGACATTAGGGAGCGGGCGAATACTACTGGGGATGGCACCCAGGCTAGTTGTTTACCACACACGCAATACTAGTATATCCATCCTTTGCTCGATTTCAAAGTCTTGTGGGTTTGTTACCTCCATGAAAAATGGAGGTATTGTTTTCGGCGTGTCTGTCTGTATGTATGTATGTATGTATGTATGTCTGTCTGTGTGTCTGTGTGTCTGTCTGTCTGTGTTTCCGCAACTTTGTGGTCAGCATAACGTCAGAACGCCTTTATGGATTATGATGATATTTGGTATGTTGGTAAGTCTTGGGAAGACAAACGTCAAGGTCAAATATGGGCCTCCTGGTGGATGACCTTGGTACTGCAGCAGAACTTCCGGTTTTTGTATCTTTTGTCCTGAACATGCTATGGTCTTGATGTTTTGGTGACAGATTGCTTTTCCTGTCAGGAATAAGTGGTGTGAGTTTGGTCAACCTAGCAGCTTGTTCTGGAACTGCAGGGCACTTTCTGGCGAAATGTTTAAAAGCCAATAAGTCAAGATAGGAACAACATATTTTCATAATTTTTGGTGTGTAGGTAGCTGAGAGAGAGATGTACATGATTAAATGCAAATTATGCAAATGTGGACTTTATTTATGAGGAAATTAATTAATGAGGAAATTCTATAATTAAAGTGTTTTACATTATACTACTTTCATACATGTAATGTATGTAACCTATGGCAGGCAGAACATCAACAGATACTAATTATGCAAATGATGACCTAATTTGCATAATTTATGCAAAAATTCTATGATTTCTTAATGGTGAATGATGGGAATGTCATACTTGGGACATCTGTAAGTTAATCAAAAGTTCACATACATCACGATGCATATATCATGTTAATGCGGAGGTAATTTGCATAATTAAAGAGGAAATTTACATTTACATATCAAGCCCATATTTCATGGAGGTATGAAATCTTGGAATTCTTGTTATGTCACGTGTTTGCACGTCCATCTGAATGAACACAGATAATTTTAGGTCACCTGTCCCTATAGGTCACGAAGATGGACGTGTGTTGTTATTGTGCAGTGATACAACACCGTCAGTTGCCTCCTAACCACTGCCGTATAAATGGACATGAAGAAAACATAGAATTGAGTCCTTCCGTTTTGATCACAAGTAGTCAGGCGTAGGTTAGGCACAGAACGACGACAAACGTTCCGACGTTGAAGTGAAAGGAGTTAATCTTCGGGCAGATTCTGTGGGACAGGGGGGCTCCTCCTGTGTCCATTGGCCACACCACGATGGGTTACCCTTGCCCCATAGAATCTGCTTGGAGATTACAAGGATTGAATCTGGGTTTGGGGAACTAAGTTTAGGATGATCTGACCATACATAACTTATCTGCATTACCCTAGAACCAGAGACACATAGGGCGTTGCTCTAGTTTTTCTCAATACTAAACCGGTTCTGACCGGCTTGCTATAGTAACAACTGTGGTAATTATACGGGTGGATGACAGCCATATTGTGTAAGTCCTCCGTTGCGACCACATCGCCAGCTTTGTTTTGGTGCATCACAATCCTGTACATGAAATACGTCGTCAAGCTTTTCTGTTTCTTAAATGCTGCGCGCCTTGGAGGTTTCCTTGTTTGTTAACGTTTCCAACAATTCCAAAATGTTGGGCAGTCGGTCATAAGGTCGTCTTTGATTAGTTCGCGAGCGTCGACCTTTTTAAACACGGACTGTGCCAAACGACTAGTCCGAGAAGTTGAGGTGTATGTGGACGGACATTCAACTCAGGTCGACTTGCTGACATGTAAGTATGTATATCTTGTTTGCTCGTTTGTTTGTTTGTTTGTTTTGTTAGGACTTCAATCAGTGTAAATTTTGCACTATTCTTCCTGGAGTCCAGGCGATGATGTAAGAAAACATTTGGCTAATACGGGACGAGGTTTCTCAGCCCGTAGATAGACTTGGCAAAATACATGGCTTCATTGTAAATAGACTAAAATAACGGCAGGCTTCATTTGCCTATGGCTGAATTGTGAGGAGCTTACAATTTTTGGGGCTGAATCGCAAGGGTCTGGAGCGGCTGCCTTTCGGCGCTATAGCTAACTCGGGTGACCTACACACGACCCCAGGTGCGGCCATAGGACTGTAAGGTTTGAACCACTCACACCGGGAAGTTCCCTTACTCTTTACTATAACTTTTACTTCAAGTGTGTATCAACAAAATTAAGCCTAGCAACAGTAACATACGAGAGTAAGCATGACGTAAAAAATGCGGACCACTAGACAAACGAAGAAACGCAAAAAGGAGGCCACAAGAAATTCACAAACAAGCCCGACCGATATATCTTCATGGTAGTCGGCTAGCCGGCCGTTGGAGAGTAGGTTTTTAGACGAAAGTGTCAGGAATGTCCGTCTTTATAACCAAACAGGTGTGTTCACACCTTCACACGTCTGCACCCAGGTAGAACAATTTCTCTTGAATGCAATCCACATAAAGATCTGTCGCATGTTTTACTTTGGTTAGCAACGAATCGTTAAACTGGTCTTTGATAAGCTACACTTGCACACAAGGCATGCAAGGAGTGGTATTATTCACGTAGATCACCGAATTACTGTCACAAACTACTCGTACATACTTTTAAAGTCACGTGTTTAACATACATGTAACATGTGAGTACTAGTATGTGCGAGAGAGAAAGCGTGTATGTTGGAATGTGTTTGTGTTTAACACATGAACATTTAGAATGCCTTCTTTCAAAAAGAACAAGAAGGTTTTCGCCATCACGTAGATTTAAGGCTGGAAAACTGACTTTTTAATAGTTGAAACTTTTGCATTTACCGAAACATTAAAGACACTGGTACCGACTTCAGCTGACTACTTGTATAAGCCACGGGATCTTGGGACTCATACAACCGGTCCAGGAAAAAGTGATTTGGTCACTGCCTGTGGCTATGTTACACATTACAGTGTCCCAAAGAGTACGGGGGCCGACTGTAATAATGTACTTCAAGTAACGACTGTCTTCTCTCGACAGTTTAAAGGATGCTTGCTCGCATTGAAGGATTATGATTCACCGAGGAGTCGAGTACACATGAGCTTATTCTAATCGAACGAAACTTCTGAGAAACCAGCTAACCATAGGCAGGTGGGTACGTTTATTTGTGAGGTGCATGACCTCTCTATTACCTATGGAGAAAATGCCACAGTTAAACAAAGGAACAGGGTTCGAAGCCCTGGGTATCAAAACAAGGGACGGAAGGGGGTGGGTGGGAAATATACACGTTACGGCAGGTTGGGACGTATGCCTTGGACACTTAATGTTCAGAACTGTCTTGTGCATGTTTGGTTTCAGACAAGCTCATACGTATAACGCTCAGGTGAAAATGAGTATTGTCCTGTCATGTATTTGTCCCCTGTGTTGGTGGCGGCATTAATATAAGTTGAAAAAACTTGAGTGTGCCGTCACCACGTCTACGTCTGGTGATTACATGGTGGAATTAAAAAAAAAATAGGTCTGTGTCAATGGTCTGCAGTCCTTTCTCAGGTTTTTGCTGTTTGGCGTTTAAAAGCAAAGACACAGGACACTAATAAAAACCACATTTATAAAGATATGAGCAAAATGCTGTACATAATGCTGGATTCCATGTAGATGGTAGGAATATGTGCTCACATAGCCTTCATAGACTACTAGTACATCTTAAGAATGGCTTTGTTCAGCCGTACTCCATTTCTCGTAGCCTCTACCAGGCGTCGAGAGGGAACTGGAATTCTGGTTGCGGCAAACAGATCTACCGTGCCAACTCCCCTGGCATGTTATCTCTCTATTTGGCCGATTTCTACTCTTTCCAACCGCCTCCCGAAGCCTGGTAGAGGCTACCTAAACCCGGTTATAAGTACATTTGTAGTATACCTGAATATCGGTATCAAAAAGAGTATCAACCTTCGGTCTTCATGTCAGTCTTTTTTTTTTTGGAACCTGCCATAACTGTCACACTATGTTAGATATGCCGCACACAGTTCATAGGTATGATTCTGCGGCTTTGGGTGCTTTCTCAGAAATACAGGGGATATACCTGACCTTTCACCTGTGTCTAGACGCTATTGTCACCCTATTAAGCCGGGGACGCACTGTCAAAAACCTTCGGTCGAGTTTAATGATCCCTAAAAGGTGACAGAGCATAAAAATCGTCAGAAGGTTGAGCGTATTTTTGACGTCTATCCAATAACATTGAACGCGGCTCGATTAATCTCCAAGCAGATCCCTCTCGGTGGCAAAAAGACAGTATCAAATTGGCCAGGCAGTATCCACAGCCAGAGAAGCTCCGCGGCCACCGACGGGTGGGGGTCAGGACAAAAAAAACGGCCATATATAAAAATGTAACGATCATTCCCCCACAACCTCTGCTTGGAGAGTAGGCTCGATAACCTGCGAGCACCGGTCGATCTCTACAAATCGCACCCATGAGATCTCGCAGTCTTGTCGGGTGAGACATTTTCCTACACTGTGTGATGCTTGCTTAAAAGCACCCAATGCAATTTCATGGCGGCAAAACCTTCTTTTTAAGTCAATTTTCAGGTCATTCTTTTAATGTAGCAAGTATAAATCCTATCCCATGGCACACTGATATCTGTGATGCGCAAAAATGCAATGTCGCTGACGGAAAACGGTTGCTTGTTTTGTATCCTGGGTTGGTTCTAGCTATTGATGGCTGGTACCCAAAAATAAGACCTTAACAAGTACAAGTAAGCAAGTAAGTAATAACAAATAAGGAGACGCCTCACGTAGCTTGTTTGGGGGCTATATAATTTCGCTTGCGCGACTTGCGCGGCGCGTTTTGTGTTTTGTTTGTTATGCTGTCCATGTCGACGTCAAACTTCATTGTGTAAATGTCTTGTTTTTGTCACCAGCTTGGGCTAGCTCTGTGCAATAGCCACAGGCTCAGTTGGGCAGCCCTAGCCTCCACCAGGCCTTTTCTATGGGGATACGGATCGTAGAATTCGGCAAAAAAGACAATCAAATTGGCCAAGGGAGTCCGGCCGCGGGGAGGTAGTTTCGTTCCCTCAATAGTCAAACCCCAAGGCGTCTAACTCCCCCCGCAAATATTCTCCTATATATAGCCAGCGTAGTTAGTCTGGTAGAGTCTAGGGCAGCCCTGGCTGTGCGTGTCAACAGACAAACCAATAGATGATCTTGGTAACATTTGTTTTGATACAAAGGCGGGGAAACACAGAAGAAAGACTGTGCGTTTAAAAATTGATAGTTGACGTCACCGCTGACCCTATTGCATCATCAGCCAGCTCTAACCGGTTCTGAGTAGTTTGAAGCTCTCACGCGGAGATAGGAACGAACCAACCTTAAGAGACAATTCGAACTTTCCAAACGTTTATATTGCAGGCTATATCATGATATAAATTGCGCCACTTTCGCTACAAAAGTGGCGCTACTTTCGTTACAAAAGTTTCTGTGCTATTTAAGTCAGAATCGTCTGTAATCGTCCACCATTTCTAGCAACAATACAGGAAAATTAAGAAAAGCTACCCCTCAATAATCAATGACTTAGTACGAGCCTGGCATGCAATGCTCTGACAGACCAAGGACAGACATGTTGTTATAGGACCATTCTTGTAACAGAACATGCATTGGGAGCTACGGAAGAAATGTTTGGTTACGATCGGGACTCAAGATGTCTCGATTTTCGGCGCATCTGAGGTACGTTTGGTTGTTGTCAATGATCTGCGTCTCAAAATGCACCTCCAAGAAGCTAGTGTTTACAGCTTGAAATGTATTGAATATTCGCAGCCTAGAAAACCATAATCCAGTGTCAATATCAAACAGAAAATATGTATAATAATGTAGAGCCATAAGTCCTTAATTTTGTACCGTATTTTTACTTGTATATTTCATCGGACTGTTCCAATGTTTACTGCATATTTTAAAGAGATCGTCTCCTTTCTAGAACTGATTCTAACACAAGATTCTATGTTTTCATGTTGTCAGATTTGTTTTGGGGCAATTGTCAAATAAGGTACAATCAGCTGGATATGTCAAGATGCCGCGTTTAACAGTTTGGTGACAAAAGAAATCGGGTTATTTTGACTTACCAAGAAGTAGAAATAAAAAGAAGTTACATGACAAAACTACATCGTAAACGGCAAAAAAATAGTTACAGTAGTCTACATGTACAGTAGCGCATACGTTTGTTCAAAACGTTTATGAACAAACATGGCCGGAGCTAGTAAAGCTACTCTTGTGAAGGAATGTGAAAGAAATTTCTGCACCATAAAATGAAATACTAGTATCTACATTTGAAAAAGAATTATTTGATTGGTATCTACTTCTACTTTTTAACATCCGCAAGTAGTTTAATCAGGTTGGTAAGTCACTGAGTAAAGAGACTCTTTCTACACAACTTCAAGTCTTTTATTCAGCCGACACTTGTGCTGCAGTGCAATGTGAACCAGTCAGAATTGCCCTGAGGAAGGTGACAGACGGTGACAAACGTCGGCTGAATAAAAAAACTTGGTTGTGTAGAAAGAGTCTCTTTACTCCTCTTTTCAACGTATTTGTGCTATTATGTCACATTTCTGACATTTATAGTTGGCAGTAAAACAGCCTACACGAAGCACACTGTTTTTGGCGCCACCACAAAATACCAGAATGTAAACAATCATGGCTAAAATTGTTTTCAGCTTTTAAACGCACTTTCTTTTTACAATTTTGATACCTTCACTTTCTGAATGGTACTTATTTGCAATGGAGTAGGGTTGATTCAACTTACTTTGTAAAGAAATGACTAGATTTTTTTATTGTCCTAGTGTTTCATAATGCACCTTTAACTGTCAATACAAGAAGGGCTACCCGTCTGACAACAGAACTAGGTCTGCTGGCATAAAAAAAGATCTTTGCAACCTAGGGAGCTAATACACCCATTGTGTGTAACCGACAGACCTATAAATGTGTCCTGACATGGACAACATTCAAAGCTCTCAAAACGTGGTGATGTACAACAATATGGTCTTACACTGGGAAACGCCTATTGCTATGATAATGCATTACACTGCAATGGCACCAACTCTGAATTTAAAGGGGACTCAATGAGACTATATCTCGACATTTTGGCTCCATTGTCCCACTATGTTCTTATAGTTGTCACCGCCCGTATTTTCGCTTGTCAGGACGAATATCCCAGTCTTACATGGTAGACTGGAAAGGCACCAGAGCAGGTAAATTTTGCAATTTGAAAAAAAAAAAGAGTCCTGGGCGTCCACACTAAGTATGTGTCTAGTAATGTGTCTCTAATTGTGTCTAGTAATGTGTCTCTAATATGTTTTTGGTACACTTACAGTATGTCTCTTGTCTTCCTTCCACTAACTTTAGTATGTCTCTGATCCACTAATTATGTGTTTCTGGTTTTCGTTCCACTGAACCAGAACAAATGCTCAGAAAAAAAAACGCTTTCTGTACAGAATGTCTAACACCTGAAAGCATCTGAAGTGTAAGAGTACAATTTCACATTTGGTGTATATATATATGACCATGGGGTTTTCTACCTCCATGATATGACCTTATATCATGTTATCTCTCGCATATTACTTGTTATTGCTAATTGTCAGTCATCTATATTTTGTATATGTTTTTTTCCTGTGTGCTATGTAGTGTTGTATAGCCACAGGATGAATAGCAACTATGTATGATAATTAAGCCATGTTGATTTGATTATATGGATGGCATCCGCACGCACATGAATTTCGTCCGTTTCCAAAAAAAAAAAAAAAAAACGTTTTACCACTCTTACTTTCAAACTCTTGCTTTCACTCCCATATTTACACTTTATACAGCGGACATTCAACACATGGAGGGATTTTGTGGTCCGTTGTCTGTTGAAAAAGCTGTCTGCTAAAAGTCAAAATAGTCGTGTTATTTCGACACGTTATCTATAGTAAACTTGGTCAAGCGAGGATCCCGCCAATACGGGGGCGCCTAAGCTTTATATCCCGTGACGTTCTGTTGTTTATGGTGAAAAACTTGTCCAATAAGACCCTAAGTATCAAGGTGTGTTAAGGTGTTACGCTTAGCTATTCAACATGGCCCTGTGGATAAAAAAAGTCAAACTCAAGCATGTTTCTGGTGTTACAGTTCTGCTGACAACTATGACCGAGCACGACCGACACAGTACCCGGGGAATGACGTGACTCGCCCCGCCCGCCAGACCGTCCCGTACCGACCATGGTGGTGGTCGCCCCGGACGGCGGCTGGAGCTGGATGGTGCTGTTCGCCGGGCTGGGCGGCATGATCTGCACGGAGGGCATGTCTGACGCCGTCAGCGTGCTCGTGCCGGCCTGGCTGAACAAGTTCCAGAGCTCCCGGGCAAGCACAGCATGGATCGGCTCGCTACTTTGTCTCAGATTCATAGCAGGTACTGATATAAAGCCGTCATTACGTCGGTAAAGATTAGACATCCAGGTAATGTATTATAAGATATGGCAAAAACAGTTACTCAAGCAACTTGCCATGGATATGATACTTTGGAAACGGTCAGACGTTTCAGGTAGTATCCACTACCTTTCGTCAGTGACACTATAGAGTTGTCAGAAAAGCAGGTTTATAAGCATGAACTATTGATTGATATTGTCAATGCAGATAAGTCTCATAGTATGTTCGTTGTTATTGTATCAGTTTCAACCGCCACCAACTGACCAGTCAAACACGGTCCGGACCTTTTAGCCTTGCAGTTAGTGCGTTGTGTGTTTCGTTATATAAAGCTAAGGTCCCAATTGAGAAAAGGGGCCCTGGCGGGTAGTTCCCGGGCTGTTTTTTACCACTTTCAGGCGGGACCCCGACGTGGCCCCGCGGGGCACTCTGCGGCTACCGGGCTATTTTTTGGCCCGTCGGGGCCCCGATAAGAATTTAATTCTGAGTTAAATTCTACCCGGGCCCCGCTGACAAAAAGACGCCGAGACCTCATCGTGAGAACACCGAGAGGTACCCCTCCGGTTGCCGGCATTCCACCGGGACACATTTCTTACGTCACAGACCAGATGAAAAGAATAAAGGTGTGTACTTCGTAAACCCGGGTAAAATGTGTGACCTCACAGATCAAATGATCACAACAAATACGTGAATTCTGCATTACGTATAGGTCAATACAAGACATCGTCAGAGAATCTGCCTGTTACCTGCAGGGTGCCTGCCGGATACCGACCAAAGAGGGTGACAAAATTTCTAACAAAATGCTACTGAAGGAAACTTTTAATTGTGACCACGACAGCCGATGCCCGCCCGACTCCTGAACCCGGCAGGGGCCATCCGGGGCTACATCCCCGACGGGCACCGGCGTAATTGGGACCTTAGCTTAACAGTGGATGCTATACGTTGCACCAAGTACAATCGTGGTCCATTAAACATTACAGATATAAAGTATTTGCGTACCGTACGTGGTGACGGTGTGTTTGCTTGTACGGGTCATACACGCACCAAGTACAATTTGTACCGCTTCCGAATGATCTCATGATACGAAAAATGCAAAATGCTCCCTATTATGACACAAAGATGTGCGTCCGGATTTCTCCTAGGGCAAACCGTGCCCTGTTTGCATATGATACCCGATCTGGTATCTGATATGATGCAATTTTTATTGCAAGTTCATGTCCGAGGGCTAATTGCAAACTGACAAAGAGTACAGAATGATTACAGGATGTATTGAAGAAAAATCTTTTCAAAACTTAAGCGCATAAAATTGCTTCTCTCATTTTTCGCTGAGTTCGTCGTACACATATTCACCACACATTGACCGTATTTTTACAGGTCCTTTCGCCGGTGTTCTGATTAAGAAGTTCGGGTGTCGGAAGGTCGGTTTGCTGGGCAGCGTGATCATGTCCGCCGGCATCGCTCTTAGCGCATTCGGGACCAACGTGCCTTACATGTACTTCACCTACGGCTTTCTAGGAGGTCAGTTATGGATTATCTGTCTATTTGCTTTGGTTCAAACTTAAGCGGTTTTTCCTATTTGAATCTTAATTGTATTCTTCGACAGCACTAACTTATCACTAAACGAGAAAGGTAACATTTTCAAAGCAAATGCATAATGTTTACCTTCGCATGTGGTCTGCTCTGTTAATTCTTACTCACATACATTCATATATATGGTCAGACAGGAGTATAAATCCCTCCTACTATAGAATTGCAACATGATGTAACCCAACACCAGTTACCATGGTGAGAGATGTCAACAAATCAGGTAATTGGCCAGGTCATCAGAGTTCAGTGTTTGGAACGGAAGAAGAAGAAGAAGAAACGTAGCAAAAACAGTATGTTTTCCTTCGGTAAACATAAAACTGTTGGTGCTATAGAGTACGTGTATATCACAAAATTATGAGATTATCATTATATAAAATTGGGTCATGGTGCGTGTTCTAAGCATCTTGGATTTCCAGGCTTCGGGAAGCGGATGGAAAGAGTTTCGGGAGCGGCAAACTGTACTCTTTTGCGGACCAACTCCCTTGGCATGTTATCTGTCTATTTGGACAATTTCTACTCTCTCCAGCCGCTTCCCGAAGCCTGGTAGAGGCTAACTTTTTTCCCCTCGTATCACCGTGAACTACCCTCTGCCTGTCTCCTCTCTCCCTCTGCTAGGAGCTGGATGTGGACTTCCTCTGCTAGCTTCGATCGTCAGTGTCGGTCAGTACTTCGACAAGAAACGCCACATCGCTTACGGCATCTCGGTTGCCGGGGTCGGGGTCGGCATCTCTCTGTTCTCCATGTTCCAACAGTACCTCCTGGACGAGTACGGCTGGTTCGGGACAGCTCTCATCATGGGCGCAGTCTTACTCAACAACTGCGTCTTCTGTGCAATCTTCCGACCACTTCCTGATGTTCCAGAGCAAACTGAACACCAAACGATAACCGAGAAAGCGGTAGAAGAAGCGATGAACGCGAAACAAGAGAAGGCAAGGTTGATTGAAACGCAGGCGACATGGAACGACGGACTCTTGCATGTGCCAACTATTGGAGAACATAGAGAGTTGCGGTCCAGCAAAAGCAATTTGTTGGCCTTCAAGGCTATGTCTAATGCCATGTTTCTGTCGCATGAAAGTCTGGTTAGTAACAGGTCGCGTCCGAACTCTCGAGCCTCATCCAGGTACCAGTCTAGGGGTCCTTCTCGCGTGAATTCTCTGCATTCTCTCGCAAGTTCTCGAGTCACTTCTCGCCTAGACATTAACGCGGTCCACGAACCGGTCCAAGAAGACGCAGTGCAAACGAAGAAGACACTGATGCAGAAGATAAGAAATCTAGGAACTGCCGTCCTCCAGACGCTAGAATGGGATCCTTCTCTCCTGACCAGTCCTCTCGTTTTGGTCTTTCTTGTTTCGAACTTGTTGAAGAGTTTTGGAAACTTCGTGCCTCTGGTTGTGTACGCGGACAAGGCTACGACAGAGGGGCTTACATACGACCAGGCTACCTTCTCTGTGTCCATGATGGGGTTTGCCGGTATCGTGGGGAGGCTGTTTTTCCCGGCGTTGTGCGGCTTCTGTAAGATGCGTTCCCTGTGGGTTTTCATGGTGGCTGTGGTGGGGACAGGCGTGCCGCTGCTGATGTTACTGGTGTGGAGAAGCTTCACGGCGTACTGTTTCTGCGGGGGACTGTTCGGGGCTTGTCTCGGGGGAGCTGCCGCCGTCGTGCCGGCGCTGACAGTGGACCTGTTCGGGGTGGAGGAACTACCCACGCTCTACGGGTTCGAGATGCTGATGGAGGGGGCTACAGGTCTCATCGCGGGACCCATAGCAGGTGAGTCAGTCAGTCAGTCAGTCAGTCAGTCAGTCAGTCAGTCAGTCAGTCAGCCAGTCGGCCGGCCGTCAGTCAGTCAGTCAGTCAGTCAGTCAGTCAGTCAGTCAGTCAGTCAGTCAATCAATCAATCAATCAATTTATCAATCAATTAACCAACCAATCAATCAATCTATCTATCTATCAATTAACCAACCAACCAACCAATCAACCAATCGATTCGACACTGGGATGAATAGGCCTTCCAAATAATTGTCTGATGATGCATATCAAAAGTCCTGCGTTTGATGTAACCAAACTGATTGTAGTCATAAACAAACATTGACTCTGAACTGATCAGTGGTACATATATAAAATTATGATTATGATCAGCATAAAAGAACAAGAATGATATCTGTTTGTGTAGATCGATGTGTTGTTCCATATACTTCAAATATCAGAGTTATCAACCAAGAATTGAGGCGTTCAAAAACTCGTATTTCCCCAGAACTATCGTAGACTGGAACTCGTTGCCACCAAGCACAGTTGGGGCATCATCACTAGAAAGCTTTAAACAACTCCTGCAATTAAATGTGCAAAGACTGAGTGTAACAAGTCGTTCGATGTGATATAGCTAGCTGCCGCCGCGCCGCGTGCCTGCGAAGCTGGTGTGTTACGCCGAAAGGCGGTTATACCGGCTATACTTTAATACTAGTAGCTGGCCTTTATGAGTCGCGATACTACTTATTGTCTTCAGTAAACAAACAAACAAACAAATAAACAATCAAACAAAATATCCTTCTTTCAGGAGCACTGTATGATGTGAGCGGTACATACGACTGGGGTTTCGGTCTGGCGGGCTTGGCGCTCATCGTAGGCGGTCTGGTGTTGTTCTTCGTGCCGTGCCTGGAGAGGAAAGCGGACCTGCCTGTTGTCGAACTCGGAGACGTGGACGAAGGCTACACACCTCAACTCGTCACCATACCTGAGTTTGAACCGGAAGTGGTCGAGGCCCAACTGACGTCCGTGTGACCCTAAAATGACCCCAGGCACGTTAAGGTCACACCAATTTAATTTGTTGGTTCTCGGATTTTTTCAGAGAAAATATGAAGCGGCAGGGCGAAAAATAAATAGAAATAAAAACAGGTCTAGGCATCCTATTATAGCCCTAAATGCTACGATAGGAGCCATGAAGTCAACACAAAAGGCTGGGTTATTATTTAAAGAATTAATTTTGAACTTCTAATCAAACCACTGCATTGATAGATGGAAAAACTGTAACAAGTAGGAAGAAAATGACTTTCCTCGACTGTTTGGGGGCAAAATATGAGCATTTTAGTTGATTCTGGACCAGAAACTTTGTTGCAAATCAGAAAAAAATGAAGAGGCGAATCCGAGAACCAACAAATTAAATTGGTGTGGCTTAAAGGCATCACATGCAATTCCAAGGCAGCAAAATAAAAATATTCTGGATGAGGAAATCTGTCTGATATTGACATTTACTGCCATTTCCATGTTATAGCACATTTTCGTCATCCTTTCATACTTGAAACATTTGAAATAGCCTAAAAACAAGGTAAACGATACTTTATTTTTTCCTGAGTTGATGTCACCCAGTGACAAGCACAGAAATACAAAAATAAAACAGATATACAAATAGAGATGCCCAAGGAGGGCGATTGGGAAGCTTGCTAGAGTGTTTTCAAAAAGTCACTTTTAGAAGGCCGTACAAGCTCAATTTCGTAGTCATCATAGCCTGGTTACCAAACCTATTATAGCTCC